TGGTGCGTGTACAACTCAACTCAATTCATCGTGTTTGCATCAACTCAATCCAACTTAACGACGATATCTCCCGTAAAATCGCTGGCAATAGTGGTCTCCTACATCACCCTCTCAAACAAACCCAAACAATATTCGCTACACTATCTTCTGCGAATTAATAACTTTCCCCTGAACAAATGAAGAATTCCTTCTCAGAATACTTGTTTGTGTCTAAAAACCAAAACCCTTCCAAATCAAATCTGGCAAAACAAAAAGTTTTACTTTCCTACAGGTGATGGTTATGTAGATACTACTACTATGCTAGCTTAAATAACTGACTTCAAGATGCTAAAAAGCGCCTTTATACAAAAAGCTTTGAGACCAGATTCTCTCAAAAAGAGCAGAATACACGCTTCGAACTGCTAGAGTTCGGAACGAAATGCCAAAGATATCAGTGAAACTAATATTCATTTCGAATTATGTATATTAAAGCACAACTAAACTATTACATGGCACAAAACACGACAACACAGTTCCAGGACAGTACAGGAATTTCTTGCATTTTTTCTAGCAAATGGGATTGAAGCTGAAGTTCATTTCTCAAAATCGACCATCTCTCTTTCATATAAATTAGATTAGAAGTTTGAATTTTCTTCAGAATTCCAATTTAAAAGAGAATTCGTCACAAACTCATTCGTATAATCCCTCATTTTTTCTAACGCACCTCGAAAAGAACGGGATTCATTAAAGCTCAATAAATAAAACTAATTGGTCCATTATCTCAAAGGTTAATACCATTTGAATGATCACAAACCAAGCACGCATGTGTTTTAGATAGTCAGATTTCCAAATGATATGATCATCCAGAAACGACCACTGCTTCAATTCAATAACACGTTCAAACGAGCCGCATCTCTTTCACTGCAAATCACCACACATCACATGCGACAATTTCAAATGGTAATTTTCTTAGTAAATGAAATTCATTTTGGCGTGCACGTTTAAAAGAGGCAGTCCAGTGCCGGAATAAAATGCTCAAATAGGGTTAAGTAAAAAAAAATGATACAGTAGAAGGAACGAACCGTTTGCTGGATTTCACGCGTAGTTTAGGACGCATTTCATTTGAGGACATATGTGCCACTTCATCCTGATACGATAAGAACAAATCTAGCATTTGAGGGTTTGGCGGCTATAATTTTAAATTACAGTTATATAATTATAAAGGTGTAGTGTTGCTTACTACATGATCAAGATTAAAATTTATTCAAGACTAGTGTTAGTTTATCTCTAAAATGTATGGCACAAGAAGATATGAAATTTCCTTTTCAATCATTACTGATGAAATAATTTTATGTGAATCACTAAAATTAGCAGGAATATAACCACAAAAGTATGACAGTGATGTAATATACACTAAATAATATACACTAAACACTGCCGTATGTGAAGCACCTGAAAAATGTCATGTAGCGTCCTTAGTCCATCTACTAGTGGATTGCTGATGCTTAAACACTATTGGAATATGAACCAAAATTTTCGAATATAAACCTTATAGAGTGGTTGTCGTGGTGGGTTACGTGCTCGCATGTTATTTCCAGTATAAGCAATGCATTTTAACTGCCAATCACCCGTTTCTTCATTCCACCGAACGAAACGTTCAATGAGCTCTAAGAATTCCGCTGGCACGTAGTTTTCTGAAGAAAAATACCTGTGAAAACCCAGTAATTTATTACCGATAATACAGTTGTAACTGGTCTACAGTAAAACGAAAATGAGGCAAAAAAGGAATAGGAGATATGTAAAAGATTTAGAAACACCGGTAACACCAAACGAAACGTTTGCCAGCTTATAAATTGGGAGGAAAATCAGCAAAAATAATGAGTACTATCAGCAGAAAATGACAGTCATAACAAGTTAGAAAAAGTGGAAAAGCAGATCTTTAAATTATCCACAATGCTTGTATGCATGCCCTCTCGGAAAGTAATTATTGAATTCCTGTCTCAGCTAGTTATAGTAGCACTTAAGTTGTCACAAGGCAATTCTTGTCAATCCTGATAGATAAGTGATATGCCCTACTCATTGACACCATCAGAGTAACTGTTTATCCGATTCCATCACATTTGCATTTCTTCTCTGATGAATGAGAACAAATATCAGGCGTACTCATTGTTTTCTTTATTGCTGCTAAAAGGTTTGCTACCTTTCATTCATTCACTGCGAATCAGCATGTGCATAAGCTGCTCACCAATAATAAGCAGTTGTAGAAGAAGTTCGCTGCGAAGTTGACGAACACTGTCCAAAAGACCTTCCATCTCACGCTGATGTTCCATTTGTACATCAGCTAATTCACTTTTTGCAGCATTCAGCATATTCCAAACCTTTTTTATCTTCTTTGTCTTTCCATGTGCCTCTTCTGCTAACGTATTGTATTTTTCTTCCAGATCAATCCTGTAAATAAACCTGCCTAGCAACGGGATAATTCTTTTTTTAATTTCACATTCCAGTATACTGTAATATGTGTTCTGAAAGACTGATCTGTCATTTTTATTCTTAACAACGAACAAAAGAATCCCATAGAAAAGGAAGAATCCTACTATTATACCGGAAGAAATACAAGGGAGATTCAACAGTAAAAAATACACGAAATCTATGCAAATAGATTTTTTAAAAAGTATTCTTTTAAAAACTGAATAAAAAATTGAAATTAGTGCTCAAAAAAGAGTTGTGGATTGAAGGAAATTTTTATAAAAAGAATGAGATTCGAAATTCTCTAATGCATTTCAACAGCCCTTTCAATCATGTTATGTTTTAATAAATCCAACCTTTCTTGATTCTTTTCTGCCAATGCTTGCTTTAACTGCGTCTCATTCAGACGCCCACGTTCTAACTCAGCATTACTTTGCTCCAGCAACCGGGCTTGTTTTTCAGCCTTTTCAAGCATATTTTCGCCACCAACGATAAGTTTTTTCTCAATTTGCCTTAGTTTATCCATCAATAAATCATGATCTCTATGCGCTTGAGCCAATTCTTCCTAAATTAAGTGTTACATGACACATTTTAAGATGTCCGAAATAGAAATGTAATGGAACATGTGAGTATACATATATGTGTAGATGTACTATCACAATAGTTTTGATTCATGGAAGTTGCGAGAACATTGATTCGTGTTAGAAGATTAAGGAAAAATGATCCGAACTGCAAATGACTCCAAGAAGATTAAAGACGATTCACGACGGACATTATAAATTTGCTATAGATGCTCAAATAATGCTATGCACCTCTACCACCATTCACAGATGTCATGAGTTGAATGCTGAATGACCGAATGATCATGTTGAATACAGACATTAATGTACCTCTTTAGCACGAAGTTCTGCGGCCAACACTGAACGTTCCTCATCAGCCAGCCCTTTTTCTTTTTGCAATTCATTTCTCTTAATTTCAATCGTCTTTTTCAGTTCTTCAATACGATCATTATAACGATTCCGCGACTGTCTCTGCCCTTTGCGCCAACTCGATTCAGTCGCCTCTTCTTCACTTCCACTTAACTCTTCTGCAAGCTATTTGCTTTTAAGCAGAAAAATAAGGTGCTTAACCTGATATCAAAAAATCCTAGTACCAACAAAAAATCCCAGATTTTGTGGTTCTACACGAACCTGAGCAGTCATTTAGTAAAGTAAATAAAATAAAGTGAGTTCAGTACATCCACAAACTGTCTGCCAAACCTTTCTCGAGCAAATGTTTAAGATGTTCAATTTCCAATTGGAATTTTCGTAACAATGCATCCTTTGGATCCTCATTAATTCGAACCACATTTTGAATGTTTTTGGCACGATTTGCATATCTTAACGTGGAAACAGTTTCATCGTAATTATAGGAAGCAGGACCAATATTTGCAAACTGAAATGAGAGAAAAGGTGCTGGGAAAATCTCAGATTATTCAAGAAAATAAGTCCAGGATTCGACCCTTGAATTGAAATGTTCCCCTAGTTTAGAACCAGAATTTTTTAAATCTGTTGTCCAATTTTGTGCAAATCGCACTGTTGTGGGTTCTTTGCACGTAAATGTCATTAAAATTAACTTATCTAACAACTACTTACCATAACAGTCTTCGAATTACCACCTAAAGAATCCTGGAGTAGTCGCGTAAGTTTGGAATTTCTATATGGAATGTGAATCGTCTTCGAATCAACCAAAGCACTAATGACGTTACCGAGAGAAGAAAGTGACAAATTGATACGAGCCGCTTCTTTCAATCGATTTCCACTGGTACCAGTCTTCGCCTGCCTCTCGCTACCCTAAATTGTGACTGCTACAATCGTCACACGATACCAATTAAAAGTTCAAACAGTTAATGTTGAAAAGAATATGCAACGGTGTCATTCATAACTCATACGTAATTAGGTAAATTTCTGGTGCAAATTCACAATGAGTTGAAATATTACAAAAATATTTTCCCAACAGTACAATGCATGGCATCAATTATTTTACTTTCATTGACATGATCAGCAGACGCATCACACTAATTATACAATAATATTGAAAAACTAAACCTACGGCTAAATCAACAAGTTGTAGTTTTCCTTGCGTGATATGACAACGACCACTAATTTTCTCACTGCATTCAATCGTTACGGTGAAAATTGCATGGGAACGTGAACTGTCTACATTCATCTTTGTTGCACCTGTTGATCTATAAAAAGAAAATGATAGGAAAGTAGATAGACAAGGTCTAATCAGTGAAGCCTATATAATTTTACACTTCGAAATTTATATCAGCCTCGTCAAGTCTATTTAATTCATATCTATTGCATAAAACAATTATTCATTCCAAGTGCTCTAAATTATTTCTCTTTTGTTCGAAAGACAATAACATACCTGTAATTGTTGCCGAACTGCATAATGCGCTCCATATGATCCGCACCGGACACAGTGACACTTGATAGATCTTTCACATAAACACCAATGTCTGGTCGTTCCTTAATAGGGTCCAGTCTTAAACTACGAATCTCTTATAATCAAATAAGGATTAAAAAGAGAAAGCAATCAGGTTATTCAGTTCTTTTTTAATTCATCCAGTGTTCAGAGTATAAGTAGTTAAACACGAAAAAAAAACTTAAAATTTAATTATAAGTACATCAGCGATTGGGAAGAAAAATGAGAAAAGTGATATCAGTAAGCTATTGTCGTATCCGTTATCATTTTCATCATAACCCACAGCTTGCACAGAATATCATTTCTACCTTAATTTCAAGACCATGCACCGGATTTTTGGCCAGCAAATCTCGGATCTCTTCATTGTAAATTTCCAAATAAGAAACTCGAACAAGGAATGTTTTATCCTGCTGACATTTTGCTATGTGATCGAAAATGTGTGCAAAAGAATTCGGAATTATTCCAGGACAACTATCACTTCCTAACATTGTGAAAGTCTTCCCAGTGCCGGTTTGTCCATAAGCAAGAATAGTGCCTAAATTAAATCAGATGAAATAGCAAGTAGCAATAAGACCCGCAATTATTCCGAATTCTATGAATACACGAAAAAAATCCATTCGATTTCTATATAACAGTTCGGAACTCCATTAAAAAAACCTTTAACATCACATGATAATTTAGCCCTCGCTCATAATTACCATTCAACATTCAATAAAATTATTCCACATCTTTTGATGAATTAGCATCGATAATTGCAGATAATCAGCTTAACCATTTTCTTAAAAATGTCAGAGCTAGCTGATACTTCTGTGGACCAAATTTAAGAAACCAGTAACCGTTATATCCCTTCAGTACGTTGTCAACAATTTGCCTTGCAGCGATATTGTAAACACTAAATTGGTCGCTGTCTTCTCCAAATACTGCATCGAACGTAAAAATACGAGGTGGTTCCTAAAAAATATTTAACTCCTTATTAAAAGCATTGATTTCAATTACCAGTAGTAAAAACAACAGATTTTGCCTGAAGGGATGCTTTGATTGCTATTAATAAAATATTTTTTAAGCAATGGCAATCTAAGAATTTTTATTCCTCTTTATACTTTGCCGTCTCCAGTAACCGTCGCTCCGCTACGATACAAAAAGTTGTCGAAATGTTCCAGTAAATCTACTTGCTGTTAACTGATTTCTATTTGGTTTCTAACAAGTTTCAAAATGAACTGAACGATTTCCATTCATAACATGCGAAGCTGAAACCACCTGATCATTGCTTGGGTTGGTGACGGAGATAGAGTTGCTTGCGCTGTCCACAGATACGATTTTCCGATGGCCTTGTCCCCGCTCTATATGGCTCAGAGGTCTGCAACGTACTACTACACGAACATTGTCTACTTCTGGCGCCTCCATCAAGCGTCACCGAGTTCTGTAACAAGAATTAGGAACCATAACTTTTTAAGGCCAAATAAACCAGGAACCATAAGAGCCAAATAAACTCCATAAGGTGCAATTTCAACGGGAGGCTCAGCAACCTTTGTTCATGCACGCATCGCATAATAAAGATGGAATTATGCAAAGAATAAGTGCGATGCAATAAACAACTCCAGCCCACAAATATCCGTAAATCATCATACTGATGTATTTCTATTTCTACAACAGATGTTTAATTTGTGATTTCATGAACTACATCTCTCGGTTGGCAACTTGAAAAACCTGAACTAAATAAATAAACAGTTTAAAGAGCGCATGAAACGCAGAGGACAACGAAACTCTTTTTCAGAATTTAGATTTTTAATCAGCTTTATCGAAAATCAACAATACAAATATAAATAATAATAGATAATTAAAATGGACGGACGTGCCCGTGGAAATAGACCTATGGCAAGAAAATAACATGACAGCTGCAAGCTTATACAAATATAAAGTTAAGTAATAATAAAGTTAGAATATGTACAAAACACATCAACTATTACCCAATAGAAAACGATTGCTATAACAAGAACGATTAAGTCGAATAAACGGAAGAGACAGAACTTCTTGTAATTCTTATGACTGCGCAAAAAAAATACAGTTATAATATACGTAGATTCTAAACACTTGAATTCCACAGCGTACACAATGTGTTGTTCTTTTTTCAATTATAATTGCTGAAACTTACCCTTTTTTAGTGTCAGTAAAGCTAAATTTTCATCGATTAACAAAAAGTACTTGTTAAAAAAACTATGATTAGTATCACAGATATAACTATTTTCATTATCCCTTTCATCTAATTCCTGTTTTTTAATTTATTGAAGTCACAGGTATGCATGCACACATACAAATTTTAAATTGAAAACTAACGTAACACGTCAAACAACTCTCGCAGTCCGAAACAAAGGGATGTCGTTGAGCGGATTAAAGAATAGGCAAAATTACGTAGTTAGAGATCAAAAAATAGAAAATACAAAAATACAATAATTACAATATACGTAGAAATGAATAAAGCATAATACTCTTCTACGTAAGTTATGTCTCTTCGAACAAAAACTAAATTACACAACTGACTATAAACTCAAAGTCTCCCGAAAGCTCGCCCAGAATCAATCGAAGGAAAGTGATTATGCGAGCTTAAAATAGCACACTGTTCACTAATTGGAAGAAATCGACAATGCGAGCTTAAAACAACATATTGTTCCAACGCTGTTTCTGCAGACTGTTGCAACATGAAGTTGATAAATTTTTATTTTTTTTTTTTGTTTTGAGAACCTCAAACATGTGCAAAGAAAACTGGTGAAAAGAAAGAGCGTGGTAAAACTGCTTCATCAGTAACACTTGTTAACGGATTACCGTCGCTGATTCCGTATTATAATTGACCGCATTGCTTACGAAATCAAGTAATCGGCGCGCATACTGCAAAAAAAAAAAAACCGGAGTTAAAGCAGCGTTATTCATATATTTTATACTGGATCCTACAGGAGTTCTAAATATAACAGTTTTAGAGCAAAAACTTTATGCGCTTATTGCATTCTAAGTGAATGAAATCCAAATAGTCTCGTAATAAGACATGCATAACCACGCAACATAGTGGCATTACGAAGAAAATTGTGCAAATAACATGCAAATTCAAGAAAGTTGCTTTACGGAACTGGCTAATAAATTCTTTTGGAAAGTCAGAAGACTATGGATACTTCCGGTATCCGGATTGTAAATCCCTGAAACCTACCTGATCAGGTTTTACCGTCGATATATTATCTGCATCCGAACCATACTTGACAGCTTTTGCAGCTGATGCCGTCTTTTTTTTAACTCCATAATAAGTGAGTATGTCCACAAGGCCGATAAAATATATTAATCGCTTGTCGCTTTCTGGAAATGTATCTACTGCAAGGCAAAATGCATAAAAATCTTCTACAATAAAACTGATGAGTCGTATTTATTTTCACCAGCTTCAAGTAGTTCAACAATTTCTATGTTCGCTTGTCCACCAGTTTTTTTCTCTCCATCAATTTCTATATTCACTTTATACTAGACCTACCCTTTCTAAAATTGAGAATAAGAAAGAGAGATTTGTTACTACATAAATTTCAGTGATAAAACATTGCAGTAAAACTTACCTGGACTACTTGGGATTGCATAAAACTCGTCATCAAGATCTGGTCCACCGGATGGGATTGGCGCAAATGCACCTGTTGACGGCACCGGTGAATCCGGTGGCGTTGGGACAAGTTCATCACCCGAAATTTCACCTTCTGATGGTTCAACTGGTTGTTGAGCTGCTGTCTCTTGTTCACCTTTATCCATATCATGGATACCTGAAATAGAAAAAAAAAACACAAGCTGCAAATTGTCTACGACAATCACGATAAGATTTCCCATTTATACTTTCGCATTGCTTCAAATTTTAAGTCAGATATGAACTAACCAACAAGAAGTGAATAATCCATCAAATGCATTCTTGTTAAGAACTCGGTATCATCACGTAACATTGAAAGCAACTTCTCACGCGCATCAGCTGGTAGTATTAATTTGTACTTATCTTCCAAAAAATCATTGTCCTTAATTGAGAATTTATATAAATTTCTGCTTAGCCATTTCATGTTTCATGGTTTTGTGCTACAGGTTTTCAAAAATTCTGTAGTAAACTGGAACTAACTAACTTTAAGAGTTGGCAATTCCTTTGTCTTCTCCTTATCAGTTGCCTGCCGCTGTACAGTTGACCCCTATAAAGACGTTAGGGTGAAAAGACTAACATATTACATTAAAAAACAACTGAATATGTATTACGAATACCTCACTCATCCCTAAATAAAGTCGAAAGAATGTCCATTCATTCAGTGCACTGCATCTTCAGTTTTTGAAAACTCATTTTTCATGGCTTCTTGAACCAAGATACTGTTGATAAATATATAGCAAAATATTCTCGACTGACTCAAAATTTCGGAGAATCACTCGGTAATATTTGACAATATCTGATACTCCAAAATCACCAATAAAAATTCATAAATGTACTTAAAAAATCAGTGAAAACTAACTATGTCCTAATAAGCATCCGAAACCGATTTTAAGAGACTTGGGAATCTTCTCTAAAAAGCAGTTGAAAATAGATGAACTTAATCATACTTCGGAATTTCCAATGGAATATGCTTCATATAACAATATTATAAGAAATATTACAAGCTGTTCGCTTCTCTATCGGTAATTAAATGTACAGTGAATCAAGCTTCCCAGGGAGCCCCTACATCAGCTGAATTTTTACTTGGAGAAATTCGGTGGTTAGACTGTCGAAGGAAGTACTTATTAAAAACATACCTTCAAATCATATTTACGATGGACAGCATATTTTCGACCGAGGATATTACGCATTACAATCAAATATGTTTCACTGCCATCAACAGTAAGACGATATAGGCCAAGAAATTGTGGAAGTAACGTTTTCCCATGTTTTTCTACTACGTACTAAAATAAAGAAATATATATATATATATATATATATATATATATATATATATATATATATATATATATATATATATATA